TATATGTGTGTGTGTATTTATATATACTGTGTGTTTGTGTGTGTGTGTGTGTGTGTGTGTGTGTGTGTGTGTGTGTGAATAAGCAACAATAGATACTGAAGCTAAAGTAATAGGCAAACCTTACCAAACAATACCACGCTACCAATAAATGTGAACAGCACAGAATTGTTGGTACCGATTACCAGCTCAGTTCGATCACTGAGTATAATTCATTAAAACACCAGTTCTTAACTGGTTCCTAAATGACTCCTCAATCAAGTGTTTATGTTCTGAACTGGCATTCAACTCCTGCAGTAATTGTCAGGCACTTCATTAATTCAATTAGATCTGCATGTTTTCCCCTGGAAAAAAAACGTCATGGCCTATTCCAAAGCAGACGCTATTGACACAGTAAAGCTCAGCAGAGAATCATTCAATCAAATGCACTAATGATTGAAGGGCACTTGGTCAGAGAACCATGTGACAGAGCGATTTGCATAACGGTTGACCCAGTTGGGGGAAAAAAAAGTTTATGACCCTGAAAGCAATACTCTATTAGCCGGTTACACTTCAGAACAGTAGGCCACATCATCATGGTCCTCAGAGTAAATGTGAATATTCAGTAAATTAATTAGTCATACTGCCATTGATAGCCCAGGAAGAACATGTCCAAAGGGTGTTGTGAGCCCACTGCAAACTGCTTTAATTAACACATACATGGCTCAGGAGGAACCTTGGCTTGGGTACGCTAAGCACATATCAAAATACTTTTCTGGGGAGCAGTCTGTCACTCCTCAGGGCTTCTGTTGTTTCTCACAACTCTAATCCATTCCAGCAGCTAATCTTTGTAAAACCATTTGTTGACAATTTATGGCCAGGGTGGGGCTTTGGTAAAAGGATTTTGGACAACTTTTGAAAAACGTCTCCTGTGAGAGAGCCGTTTTAAAATTGTTATGCTGCAATAAAGAAACTTAAATTCACAGTCAGAGGGCTCATTATGCAAAACTTCCTTTTCTTAAGCACCCATAAACAGATGCTTGATCTGTGCTAGTAGGTCTGTCAAAGGACAAACAGAAGAGCAGTAATGCAGACGGTAAACCGCTTACCTGCTATCTTGACATTGCGGATGTACTTTAGCAGGAGGGTTCCATCAACTGGGTCCATTTTGGAACAGAGTCCCACCTTGCCAGGGCAGAGGTCTTTGTGCATGTTGTGGAGGGCGTGCGCCATTGCGTACACTGCATCAATCACGAACATCACCTTTCCTTCTTGCTCGTAGGACGAGTCTTTTCCGATCCTCTCTTGATCTGACAGACGAAAGAAAAAGTTTGCATCAACATCGACTGAAGTGTCATTAGATTTTGACTGAATTGTCACACTCACACCAGGAGAGCACTGGAAGAGACTGATGTTGCACATCTTGACGCTTTCTACACCGAATGCGTCGAAGTTTCTTGCCACTTCAGAGTCTTCACTTATAACGAACCAATCAGATGTGAATTTGAGGCAACACCTTGGGAGACTTTTTAAATTTAATAAAATACTAAAAGAAATAAAACACATAAAATTATAAATTGTGTGAAATTTTTCTTTTCATGAGGCTTTTTTCATATAAAATAAAATAAAATAAAATAAGGTTTTGATCAGAATTCTTTGATATACTACAAATAAAATATAAAAGCATAATTTTATTTTAGACTTACAAAGAAAGTGGCTGGAGTTGCTGGGTAACACATAAAAAATAGATTCATCGGGGCATTCATCGGCCTCATCAGGTTTGTGCAGTGCAGAAAGGCCTACTGATTATAATTACAGCAGCCTACTTTAGCTGTGTTGCAACATAATCATGTTTCTTAAAGAGCATTATTCATCTTAGACAAGTGGAACACCAAACTAGTAACATTTCCTAGTTGTTTCGTTTACCAAAAATACAATAATAGTAGTTGTAATATGATGCAATCAAATCATTTAAACTGCTCCTGCCCCAATTTGCAGTTTACTTCCGAGTCAAACATGAATGTGTTTTATTTTATATTTAAATATTTGGAATTTAACTGGAATGAAATTAAGGTTTTTGAGAACCAGAGGATCATACTTGTCATTTACATACTAAGAAAACAATTCAAAACATAATAATTTAGAGCATGTTGCTTCTTTAATAAGCACTGTGCAGAGCGGTGTTACAGGGTGACGCACTTTAAACACTAATCAATTTAATTGTATACCCCAATTTAATCGGCTCTCCAGCAACAAAACCAGAATGCATTAAGGAAATGTTTTGTTTCAGTTGCATGAAAGTAGAGCAAAGTAGACTTTAAGGATGTTCCTACTGTATATAAATGAATCACATGGCTAAGCACAAACAGTCTTAGTCCACAAAAAAGCAACTTCCTGAACAATGACTAACTTGGCATTAAAACAGGATGTAATTCCGCCAAAAAGTGCACATTTTCATCAAGGTAGCAGCTCAATGTTCTGTCATCCTGTCATATAGATAATGGACACATACTGTATGGAATTGTGTTAAAACGTCTAATCTGAGTTTTAAAACCATTCTGGGGTGTAAGGATGATCTGAAAAGCACATGATTATTATAAATCTCAGCAAGCTATTATTAGAACTATTAGAAAGTGTGAAGCAGCATCATCCTGGCATTTTTGTCATAAATGTTTCAGAATTAGGTCTAAAACATTGCTGTGGCAACTATGATATAACAAAAATGTATATTCAGACACAGCTTTGTTCATGAATATTTAATATAGATTATTGCGTAATAGCATAAAAATAGAATAAATAAATAAATGAATGAATAAATAAAATAATCTATAACAAAATGTTTATCAATTATCTTATTTTTAAATAAATATTTATATAGTCATTTAATTAAATAATGTGCATACTTAAAAACATATGTATACATATGTAAAATAATTGATTACCATCACTAAAAATTAAATTAAATTAAATTAAATTAAATTAAATTGGCTTCCATTTGATTTTACAGTTGCACTGTAATGAGTAAAAGGTTGTATTTTAAATAACTGTTACAGAACTTGTTACATGTGACACTCCAAAAAGACTGTATTCAAATAGAAAGGGGGGGGGGGGGAAATCAAATATCGGAAATATGCCCCG